GGTTTCGATACCCGTGGTGGGGAGAGCACAGATAGCCCATTGTGTAGCTTTGTGCTTAATTACAAAAACAAACAAACAAACTTGTTCTCTCTCTGAAACGAATTTCGTGAAAGTGTAGTTGTTCTTTTGCATACGAAACGTGTTTCTTATAAACACCAGTGTTAACTATTTTGTTTGTAGCAGAAAGAGCTAAGCGATTTTGGTTGGAATTTCAAGAGCTAAGTGATCTATATTTCGTTTTGCTTAAAATAAGCTTAACAATGGTTGCGGGTCATGTTCAGTAACTAGACACTACTGCTCAAATGAGCATGAATATTCATTTCAAGATTTTTTTATGATTGAATGAATTGTTTACTGAATAACTCTGCTCAAATAATTCTCGTAAAAATTCCTTTTAAAATAGCATGTTTGCATCAGTTTAATCGTAAGCTCAATTTCTTGCTGAGGATCATTGTAATCCCCCTAGAAATGATGTTATGGTCTACAAAATACGTTATGATAATCTGATGAAATACTGTATCAAAATGTTTTACCAAAAATGCAAACAATTCATGGGTGGTAGTATTTAAATTCAGTAAGAACAGTCTTAAACTTTTTAGTATGAACTACGTCATAATGGATAAAACCTTTGCGAAATGGATTTTATTTTGATAGATTAATTTTATTAAGACAAAATATACCAAAAACAAGTTCAAACATGTGTTGTAGGAACACTGATTTCCAAAGATATGCTCATTAAAGGATTACTTGAGATTTCTTTAAAAGTTATCATAAAATATGATTTTTTTTCTGTTTTACTGCTAAATACATATCGTAGATAAGTAACAAACCTACCTTGTTGTAGCCTATTTCTTCTTTGCTTCACTATGATAAGAACAATCATCCCCAAGATCACAAGTACTATGATAATCCCGAGTAACACCGCCACGAGAGGGCTGATTAAAAGTGGAAAAACAATTCCTGTACGTTGGAGTAAAATTTGGTTAATAACACTGGAAACCTCCAGAAATAGTTTATGTATATACACACACAGAAATAGTTTTTATATATACACACAGAGACAAATAGTTTATATATACATATACACACACACACAGAAGTTGAGTGCGTTATATTAAAACGATTTTGGAGCCTCACTACGTCGTTATAGTCCCTGTCACCATGGTCATGCTGTATCTAATAACCTCTTGACAAAAGGCGTGTAGCGTAGGTTTTATTGCAAAAGTTTCAGTTGCAAGAGTTTCGTGCCCAAAGCTCACCCCTCATTCCTGCTTGCTTTAATAATCCATCTGGTTTCCCAGCGCCTACTTCAACGATTCAATCGAACAGAAATCTATAACTTGATCGATATGTCTTTTTGTAGAATAGCATGAATAGTCGCTTCATTCTCCAGCTACTTGAGATCTGTGACAGTTGAAGTAATATTTCGTGAAAGCAAGTTGTGTACAAATGACTCGGGTGATTCGTCTCGCTTTTCCTGGCGGAGGTTTTGCTTAGTAATGTTGCCTTCTTTTGCTTCGGGTCAAGTAGAAGTTGATCCATAAATGTTTTGTTTAAGAAATCCTAAATCTCCGACCTAGTTTTTTTTCAATGTAAAGTTTACTCTGCGCTTGAAGTGATAGGCTAAAGAGAATGCAGCTAATCAACACTAAGTTCTGGAATAATCTTTTTTTTTTAAGATGGAATATTGGGATTTAGCTGTCACTCTTATAAAGCACCGACGTCGTCAAAGAGCAGAAAGACAATTTTGTTTTTTGGCGGTAAAGGGGTGAGAAAAATTTAGCCTCAGAATCACAGTCCCTCCCCGATCTGAACACATCTTAGTGTGTGAATATTTTGTGTCGAAGGTACTTTTACGTACCCATTCTATAAACGATGAATTAACAAAACGTTATGTTGTCGGTTATAGCTGTCTCTTGACTTGGATAATCAAAATTGTTTTAATATAATTTATTCAACTTTCTCTTTCTGCTTATATAAATAAATATCATATTAATTATATGAAAATGAACAAATCTATTTTGTCTATCTAGGACGGATATAAGCTTAAATTGATTAAGATTAATCGTTTTTGTAAAACAAAACAAAAAATATTTCATGGAATATATAATCTGGTTCACAGAAAGGGATTTTTTTACGATAAATATAGCGTGTATATTCATATTAAACTCTAAAAATCCCAATTACAGCCGCATATGTTTATATATATATATAGTTTTGTGTAAAACGTGTACAGATTTGATATACCAGTAGTGTGAAAAAGAACAAGTCCTAGTTAATATATGTATGAAATAAACACGTTGTAGGTATATTCATATGTCTTGCGCGTATTAAAATAAATATATATTAATGAATAACAACGTATATAACCATACACATACACAGTAGGTAAAATAGTCAACATTTTTAGCGTTATAACTTTTATTTCTCTACAATTTCTTTCTCTGTTGTTTTAGACCATCAACAAAACACTAAGAGGGTGTGTGTGTGGGGTGGGGGGGGGTTGATGAAAGGAAATTCGACTCCTGGTCTTAATTAAGCAAATGTAGTTATATTACCTGGTTGTTTCTCCGTCGACAGAAGTGTTTTCGTGTCAATCAGAACTGCAGGACTCTTTCCTCTGGCAGTAGACCCATAGATCGAGATTCTTAGGGAACTATCGGGGGGGAGATCATTTACCTCAAAGATCGGTTGATCAAACCTTGTGTGATTTACCAGTAATCGGTGGCTGTTCTTGGTGTATACTTCGAGGTGGAATCGCTGATTAAGTCCACCATCTTCTCCTGCTATACAGTTAACTGTAAAGGATCTTTCCGTCTGATTTTCTACACTACAGTTGGTGACAGGCTCCGGTCTGGCTGAAGCATTATAATACAAGACAACAAATATTAAGACGAAATAATTTTCGTATCGTACTCTTTTATTGAAATAAATTCGACTTCGCAGTTGCTAAGTGTTTCAGTAATTAATCTGAATGAAAGTTCGTTCTGGTTTTGTTATATGGTTGTCAAGAATAGCAATATATATATATAGATAAATCGATCTTAGTTTATTCATCGTAAAGTTTAATGTTTCTCAGCACTGTATACAATTATTGAAAGATTAATGTAACTAATTTGAATACTATGGTTTTTAGTTACTTTCATTCTTTACTGGTAAGTTTTGTAAACCTTTTAACCTGAAAAAAAAAACTATCATTATTAACATTAACATAGTGTTGGTATCAGAGTGCGAGACAAGAATAAACTACCATTGTTAACATTAACATAGTGTTGGTATCAGGGTCTGAAACAGGAATAAACAACAACTATTAACAATAACACATTGTTTGTACCAGAGTAGATATGAGTATACAATGGGACACATACCTTTTTATTATTATTAATACTTCAGACATAATGAAAGTCATTCTAAGAACATACAATAGTGGTTAATGAAGATGTGTGAATGTTATCACTCACCTGATGGTATAATGTTAAAAACACACGGTTCCTGCTGAACACCGATACTGTTTTCTCCCCAGCAGTAAAGAGTTCCGTAATCATATTTAGATTTGGGCGAGAAAGTAGCGACACTGCTTGTTCGATTACTGCTGAAAGAATTGACGTCTACAGTTTCTCCCGAGGTGTTAAATCTCCAACGGAACACGACCTCTAAGGGCTCAGCAATGAGTTCACATAATATGTCAACCTTCCCCTCCTTCCCCACACCATAAATTGTTTTCGGACGAGAAGCACAAATGGGTGAAACTAAAAAAAAAAGGTAATAATAATAATAATTAAAAGACGCAACTTTTCTAAATTTTTCCATTTTGACTTAAAGCATGTTTTTTCGTTAAGGAACGAACGACTTGCACATTTTGTAAGTGAAGTTATTGAAGTACTTGGATGATATTTTCACTTATGTCTATGCAAATACATTGCAGTCTTGTATAGTTTCTTTAACCAAGGAGGTTACGTAAAATGTTAAAATATTCGCGAGTATTGCACTAATCAGTCGTTACAGCCGTGAGGAACAGAAACCCGTAATTGAATGATAAATTAATAAGTATATCAAAGAAATGCAGTTAGAATTCCTGTGAAGAGACACTCTATTTAATGAAGCTGGTATTACACCGAATAAAACATGAGACATGAATCTTGTGGCAGCTTTATCTAACAACTTTTCTAAAATATATATAAAAAAATAAAAAATACAACAAGGCTAGTGACTATGACGAAGAAACCTACACTAGTAATGATTTCCATAGGGACGGCACCGCTGGGTTGCGTAGAACAAGAGAAACCTGCTATTTTGTTTGGTGGAGTTACTCTCCATACAAGAAAGCATGTTATTCTACAGAGCTGGGAATGTTGAAACATGAGACATATATATATAATGTTCAACCTGTCTTTGGTCAAATATTCGTCGAAATATTTCAGATACTTTAAATTTTTAAAGTGTGAAGAATTAGTGACAACGTACTGCCAGTTATAAAATTATTATGTAGAAACAATGTGCTGCCAGTTATAAAATGATTCTGTAGAGACGATGTGCTGCCAGTTATAAAATTATTATGTAGAAACGATGTGCTGCCAGTTATAAAATTATTATGTAGAGACGATGTGCTGCCAGTTATAAAATGATTCTGTAGAGACGATGTACTGCCAGTCGTTATAGTTAACCTGTAGAGACAATGTGCTGCCAGTCGTTATAGTTAACCTGTAGAGACAATGTGCTGCCAGTCGTTATAGTTAACCTGTAGAGACAATATGCTGCCAGTCGTTATAGTTAACCTGTAGAGACGATGTGCTGCCAGTCGTTATAGTTAACCTGTATGAGACAATGATGCTGCCAGTCGTTATAGTTAACCTGTATAGACAATAGTGCTGCCAGTCGTTATAGTTAACCTGTAGAGACAATGTGCTGCCAGTCGTTATAGTTAACGTATGCTGCCAGCCGTTATAGTTAACCTGTAGTGACAATGTGCTGCCAGTCGTTACAGTTAACCTGTAGAGACGATGTACTTGCCAGTCGTTATAGTTAACCTGTAGAGACAATGTGCTCCCAGTCGTTATAGTTAACCTGTAGAGA